TAAGAATCATTTTCTCGTGAGTATGAAGTAATACACTTTCAAGAAAGCTACAAGTTTATTGCAGCGTAATACTAAGGCTCATAGCTACTCGCAAACGAAAAAAGAAGCATAAAAAATATCAGAAAAACAGTAAGAACGAGAGAGAGGGCGAGCGAACGAGCGAGCACTGGAATGGTGCAGATTTGTCCCCGACATCAAATAAACATGAAAGTGGACACTAAATCATTTGGAGTAAAGAGACTGAACACCTCATTCAACCTAACCAAACCCCCCCAAAAAATAATATTTAACCGTATGGAAGGATAAAGCGAAAGAGGAGAGGAAATGACAACGAAATGAAATAGTAACTAAAGACACCTAAAAAGGTAAACAGAAACGGGAGGTGCGTGTTTGCCTTGACATCCGCATTGAGTTGAGCGATGTTGAAAGTCACGTTTAGAGAATTAAAACCGCCATTGCAGACCCGCACCGACAGACTGGGATAGGGTTTGCTTAAGCCCGTTAGTACTTAAGGAACTGTGTGTGTGCGTGTGTGGGAGGTGGTGTGTGTGTGTGCTGAGTGAGGGGTCGTGTGTATTTGTTTTTGTGTGGTGGTGTGTAGGGATGTTGTGGTGTGTGTGTGTGTGTGGGGGGGGGTGCGTGCGTGCGTAAGTGCGTGTGTGTATGTCTGCATGTATGCCTGCGTAAATACGTAAGTGCTGCTGATAGGTTGACTCTTTCCTACAATTAAATTTGTAAAGACACTAATACACACATATTCCTCTGCCAGGCGTATCCAACATTCATGCAAATGCGCATGACCGACACGCATTGTCTCCTTACATAAGAGTCCCTGAACACAGAGTAAAAACGCCAGTACATTTTACGCAAGCAAAGAGCATGAAAAATAAATAAGAAAGTAACGTGTTCCCAGCTGCAGAAGTTAATTAGCAGTAACTGTGGTTTTAATCAAATAAATAACAGTCATTCATGTCATCAGTGCTTTAATACATCAAACAACACACACAAATAACAACAATACAAACCGGAAACACAATATAAGCAAGCATAAACAAACACACTGACGTATATACAAACAACATCCCTGCCCCCACATTGACAACACACACACACACAAACACAACAGAGACAACTAAACCTTCTTATCACGTAAACAACACACATAATAATCCTTTAAACACACAACCTCCTCTAATCCCAAATACCCACATTCAAACAAACGCACGGACAAACACAAACAAGCACAACATCCCCCACCCCCACTCCACCTCACCCCCACCCCCACGCCACACTTCCCCACCACCCCCACGCCACACTACCCCCACCCCCACGACCCACAACGAAAGTGAGAAAGTTACCACAAATGCAAACATCATTAACGTGGGAGAGGCGAGGAGATGACGCGGGCCGTGTGAAGATGCTGCCACCATTGCCATCCTGCGGGACTTTCCCTTCAGCGATGATGATTGCGGTCTGAGGGTGACGACGCGGAGAGCAGACGGATGCTGGGGGACCGGGATGCTAGGAGACTAGGATGCTTGAGAAGCCGGGATGGTGGGAGATTGTGAAGCTTGAGAAACCGGGATGGAAGGAGACTGAGATGCTGGGAGGTAGGAAAGCTGGGACACCGGGAGACTTGGGATGCTGAGAGGCAGAGAGACTGGTATTACCGGGAGTATGAGATGCTCGGATGCCGGGATGCTGGGAGACCGGGAGATAGAGATGCTGGGAACCTACGATACATTCTCACACCGAGAGGCTGAAGGACCACACACGTCAACACAGACACAGTTACTGATATTAACACGCTGTTTGAAGACGTAAACAATAGTTGTGCAGAGAAGAGGGGTATATGGATAAATGGAGAGATAGATATGAATAAAATGGTGAAAGAGAGAAGAGGGTTGATAAAGCAGAAGAGTGTAAAGGATGGGGAAGATTGAAAGAGGGAAAAGAAACGGAGGAAGCAAGTAGGGGAAGATAAAGATAGCGAGAGAGAGAGAGAGGGGGGGGGGGGGAGAAAAAAATATGAGGAAATATTTGAAAGCATCTATACACACATTCAGCCATGTTGTTACAACGTTTTTTTCCTTGTCAGACAATCATCCTGACGGCATGCAACTGTGACCTCAATTATCCATTGTGCCCATTGAAAATCTTTGTTATGATTCTTTTTATGCGCGGAGAACGTCAGCAGTATCGACACAAGCTGGATATCACGTAATCTCTCTCTCTCTCTCTCTCTCTCTCTCTCTCTCTCTCTCTCTCTCTCTCTCTCTCTCTCTCTCTCTCTCTCTCTCTCTGTATACAAACATACATACATGATACATGCATATATACAAACTTATACATGTGTACATACATGAATATGTACATGCATGCATACAAGCATACATGCAAACATATACATGTGTACATACATGCATATATATATATATATATATATATATATATATATATATATATATATATATATGTGTGTGTGTGTGTGTGTGTGTGTGTATACATATATATATATATATATCATACATGCATGTATACATCCATACAAACAAACATACGTAGACATACGTACAATTGCGTTTACACAACATTCAAAAGTACATATTTCTATCATCGTATATTTAAAACTAATTCCAGTTCTGGAGATTCCTTGCTTGCTTCAGTTTTCAGGTCAGTGGCTCAAAAAAGTGTTCATTTACTTGTCTTTAATAGGTAAGTCAATAACCCTTCATCCCTCCTAATACTCAAACTCCACGCACGTGTTATAAACTTTCTACTTTTATCAATATAATCCGGATAAGACCTACAAGTTGCTTACTCACTATTTGCATTGACAATTTTATTACAATTCGCTCTTTCACGCTGCTTAAATTGTTATCATTACGTTGTTCTCATCATTTAGCATTTTATCATTAGTTTCATCCCATTTATTATTCATTTTTTTCACAGTCACCTTCTCATCCATTAGAGACACGTGCTACTGTTATTAAATTTCGTGACTCAAGTTTCTAAGCAACCATTCACCTATATAATCGTGTAAATATGGAGAACTGGCGTGATAATTAAGTCTGACACTGAGAATGTCACTGTCAGTCAGGCATGAATGGCATTATTAGAGGAGAGGTTTTGGGAATGACATTGCTAAATGACATCGACTAAGTTCACGGGAGCGCCATTTCTTAAGACCGAAAATTCCCTAATTTCTTTGGTCTTTTGTCTTTCTCTTTCTCATTTTCGAGTCTTTCAACTACTTTTCTTCTTGTGCTTTGTTCTCCTCTCCCTTTTCATTTCGCTGTTTTTTTTTTTCCTTTCTTTCTTCTTTTTCTTTTCTTTCTTTCCCTTTTTCTTTCGTTCCGTGAAGTATGTGCGTGTCTTTGTGCGATTTCGAAAAAAGAATTTGCATTTTGCGTACCCCGGGCGAAGGGAATTTCATGTTCTCACGTTATCAAAGTTCCAAGAGAACTGTGACTTGTGTTTCTTCTGTCATGTTAACTATTTAGAAAATACAGAAGAGAAGGAAAAAAAATAATTTGCAAACGAAGTGATTGTGATTTTGGATTCCAGTGTAATTATCTTGAACTGGAATTCACTCAAGAAGTCCCTGTTTTGGGAAGAAGTATTCAGATAATGACAGATGCCATGAGAACATTCCAGGTTCACATTGACAGAGAAAGCAAGCAGACGCATATTCGAAATCAAATTTTCTTTTTTATTCCGTTTTTTTATTTCTTTTTCTTGTCTTCCTTTCTTCTATCACCTTTCAATATTACCTTTCTCTCTAGCCTTAATTCATATGAATTCAGGGGAGGTTGACCTTTTTTTTTAACCACACAATAATCTGGAATCATGATACTTGGTACAAATGGCTGGGAAAAGACGCGATATCTCTTTATTAGTAGAGAAAGTACGGTTTTACCTTTCTTTCCCCTTTTTATATAATCTGTTTTGTGGGTAAGTATAAGAAAGAGAGAAAAAAAAACAAGAAGAGAAAAAAGTCTGTCAAAGATAACTTTCAAATTCCGTTTGCATTATGCCACATGGGACTTTCTCTCTTTTTAAACCGTAAGTTATTTAGCTTGCACCAGAAGGAAACCACGAATGCATTGGCAGATATTTGTAACTTAGAATATGTCTGAAGTCAGTCCTAAAAAAGCAGCCCTTTAAAAGCAGTTGGTGACTCAGGTCTGCAAGCTACTCTGGTTGAGTGTACGAATGTATGTGTAGTTGCAAGCACGGGCAGCATGTGCGTTTGCATTGGGATTCTTTGACTTTCGTGTGTGTGTGTGTGCGCGCGCGCGCGTGTGTGTGTGTGTGCGTGTGTGCGTGTGTATGTGTGTGTGTGTGTGTGTGTGTGTGTGTGTGAGACAGTGGAGGGATAGTATGAGTATGTGTGAATGTAAGTGGCAATGTGTGTGTGTGTGTGTGTGTGTGTGTGTGTGTGTGTGTGTGTGTGTGTGTGTGTGTGTGTGTGTGTGTGTGTGTGTGTGGTCTAACTACAACACAATATATATGTATATGAATACAAATAGCAGATAGATATAGATAGCTAGGTAGATAGATAAAGAGAGAGAAAGTTATACTTGTTAATGGAGACGCGTGCATGTATATTTATTTTACTAACATCCAGAACTAAGGAGGTTGTGCTAATACGCCAAGTAAACATCTTTTACAAGCAGTCTGCATCTGAGGGCAAGAGAAGGGCAGGGCAAGGGATGCTGGAAAGGAGGAAAGGGGGAGGGGGAGAGAGTAGGGGAGGGAAAGAGAGAGGTGGGGAGGAAAGGGGGAGGGAGAAGAGAGGAGGGGAGGGAAAAGGAGAGGTGGGGAGGAGAGTTTGAAGGAGAAGAGATGAGGAGAGGGTAAGGGAGGGGGAAGAGAGGAGGGGAGGGTAAGGGAGAGATGGGGAGGAGAAGAGAAGAGGGGAGGGTGAGGAGGGGAAAAGCAGATAGGGCGGGGTTGGAATGTCGGCAAATGCGGATAACCTTGATGTTTTGCAGAACGTACCTTTGGGTTGTATAATCCGTTTTTTTCGGCCTTTGTGATCTGTAAAGGAAAAAAGCTTTATGTAGGTCACGTTTTTTTAAAGATACGAATAGGTAAACAGATGGATGTTTATATAAACATATAAAAACAGATTGCGGAAATGGATGAAATGCAACAATTATTTTGCAAGACTAGGAAAATATTACGACATAGAAACTGAGGAGAAACCACTTCAATATAACATCAAACAACAGCAACAAATCACATAAGACAAATAACAAACACGTAAAAAAATACCTTCAAAATCATCCAAAATAAACCTTTTCGAAAGACGTCAACATTACATCATTAGCCTCCCAAAGTAGTCATTCCCTCCCTACTCCCCCTACCCCACCCCCTCTGCCTCAGCGACCCACCCACTGACCCACCCAGCGACCCACCCACTGACCCACCCAGCGACCCACCCACTGACCCACCCAGCGACCCACCCACTGACCCACCCAGCGACCCACCCACTGACCCACCCAGCGACCCACCCAGCGACCCACCCAGTCCTAACTCATCAAGAGAAGGCAATCAGTGTAAATTTCCTAGCCTAATAAGGTACTACTTCACAGGCCTATCCGCACGCCACCTCACCCAGGTACATGGGTCAACCACAACTCATTGATGGGTACCCTGCAGATGCTTCCGCGCGGGCAACCATGTGGTCATGGAAGGGACAGCCACATATATGGGGTAAAAAAAAGAGATATATAGGTGGAAAATGTGGGTTTTAAGGCAGCGAGTTTTGACCGACAAGCACCGAGGAAGGAGACGAGGGGAGCGGGGGGTGAAAGGAGTGGCCGACTCGAGGAATGTAAACAAGCGTGAGTGTTATGTCTTGCAGTGATTCTTCATACTAGGTGTTTCTCATCCTTTGCATGTATGCACGAAAATCGAGCTTATGTCTATGAGCAGCTATGGTATAAAATATATATGTATGTATATATATATATATATATATATATATATATATATATATATATATATTATATATATTATATATATATACACACACACACACACATATGCATACGGCGGTGTGTGCATGTGTTCTTTGCGTGTGTATATATATATATGTATATATGCAATCAAGTTATTTTCATAAGTCCCTTGTAGAAAAAAATATGTAAAAATAGCATCATTTAGAACTACAAACCAGCAACCAAACCTACGGAAAGAGAGAGAGAGAGAGAGAAAGAATCAATTTCTCCACCACAAACCCTTGAACGGCCAAAACATACGTTAACGACCCCTCTACAAGATCGTTAATTAACTGCCGTCCCCCCCCCCCCCGCTCCTTCCCCAGCGGACTTCCTCGCTCCAGTCCCTTCCTCCTGCTTACGAAGCTACTTTCCCGGTTCCCACACACCGCTGGCACACTTTCCACCTCGCAACATAACGGAACAGCGACAGGAGGAGCAAGAGGAACCGAGATTGATTAAAATTAACGAGAACGACCCAATGGCTTGGTTCTCGGGTTGTTTCCATTGGACGAGGTTGCGCTATCGTGGCTTGCGGGGTTTGATTTTAAATGTTGATGTTTTGAGATGGTTTGGTTTTGATGTGATGGACTGTTTGGGTAGTGTGTGTTTCTCTGAGTTACTGGTTTCTCTCTCTTTCTTCCTGAGTTCGTGGGAAAGCATAATGGAATGACACCAATGTCTGGCTGGTTGTTATGACTTTTGACTTGTAACGAGAACGTGAATTGGTATGTATGCTTGTGTCTACAAACGGTATGTCTGTGATGTGTGTCTATGTGCATTATAACACACACACACATATCAACATTATATAACAGGAAAAGAGGAAGTCCGTGCTGCCAATTCCCCCCAAACTAACACGCACGAAGCATAACCTCCCCGTAACCCACACAGCTCTGGTGTCACCCTCGCTTCCTCGCAGGTGTGGTGACGCGGAAGTGGCAACGACAAGCATATTTTTCGGTTCTTGCTGACTGCCCAGCGGGGGAAAAAAACAAGACCCGGGAGTTCCCACGCTTATGCTGCTTCTAGTTTGATAAAAGAAGGAAATAAAGAAATGGAGAAAAAAATATGAAGTTCAAGTGCAACCGGATACAGAACAATTTCATCATCTTCACACTGACGAACCTGATTGTGTATTCGTCGCTGGGAAATAACTATCCTTAATCTTTGAGAAAATTTCCCGTGAAAAAACAACAACACTTCTTTCGTAACTATGTCACCGGAAAATTTATAATGATATGCTACAATCAAAACGTATACTTAAGCTCTTGTTTTTTTATATAAAGAAAGAATAATCATAACAAGACCTTTTTAGGAAGAAGATAACGACCAGGCTTTCGCTACCGTCCATATGGTTCTTAATAATCGCCTGCCGGACAGACTTTCTTTGTTGTGTATGGTAATGGAAGACGGAGCAGTACAGAGAAATTTCCTTCCTGTCTTGAATAGGTGTTTTTCACGTAAATCAACAAATGTAAACGAATATATGGTATAATAAAACGTATGGTTATAAATTAAACTAATGATAAACTATTTTCGGAAAAAAATATAAATACCTCATAAATAACAGAAAATAATGACGGAACCATATCCTTATAAAAACAAGAAACCATGGGAAAAGAAAACCTACTTAAGCAAATAGTTTACTCGTTCTTCCTAATGGTTTCCACTTGACATTGCGGCGTTTCTGATCTCGCACCTGTCTGGACCTCACCAGGTGGTCACCACGACCTCAGGTGTATGTGTCTGTCTGAGAAAGTTCACCTGTGTGCGTGATTTCCTCTGCTTTTTTTGTTTTGTTTTTTGTCTTTGTATGGGCGGGGTGTGTGTGTTTGTTCGTGTATGTGTTTATTTGTTTGTGTATGTGTTTATTTGTTTGTGTATGTGTTTATTTGTTTGTGTATGTGTTTATTTGTTTGTGTATGTGTTTATTTGTTTGTGTATGTGTTTATTTGTTTGTGTATGTGTTTATTGGTTCGTGTATGTGTTTATTGGTTCGTGTATGTGTTTATTTGTGTGCGTATGTGTTTATTTGTGTGTGTATGTTTGTTTGTGTGTGTTTATGTTTGTACGTGTGTGTGTGAGAGAGAGAGAGAGAGAAAGGAAGAAAGACCGAGAGAGAGAGAGAAAGAGTAAGCGAGTGTAACGTACACTCAAAAACAGAAGTTAGCTGTATGTGTGCGAATAGGTTTTTATTCGTAGAATGACTTTACTTTTACTCTGCATGTGCACGCATGTGTATTAGCGTGTACATGCCCTCCATCTGTTCGAACACATTTAACACTGTACCGAATTTAGCGAAAGTAAACAACCTCCTTATAAGCCCAAATAAGCGACACACAAAGATGACAATGTGCCTGACATATACATCTCTTCAAGTGACAGGGAAAGGTAGGAGAGGGTAAGGAAAAGGAGGAGGAGAACGACAACAAGAGCATGGAGAAGAAGAAGGAGGAGGAGGAGAAGGAAAAGAACAAGAACACGGAGAAGAAGAAGGAGGAGGAGGAAAAGAACAAGAACATAGAGAAGAAGAAGGAGGAGGAGGAGAAGGAAAAGAACAAGAACATGGTGAAGAAGAAGGAGGAGGAGGAGAAGGAAAAGAACAAGAACATGGTGAAGAAGAAGGAGGAGGAGAAGGAAAAAAACAAGAACATAGAGAAGAAGGTGGAGGAGAAGGAAAACACAAGAACAGAGAGAATAAGGAGGAGGAGGAGGAGAACAACAACAACAAGGACAGAAAAAAGGAAGAGGAGGACGAGAAGGAGGAGAAAAACAACAACAACAGAAGAAGGAAGAGGAGGACGAGAAGAAGGAGGAGAATGAGAAAGAGGAGGAGGCGGTGGGGAGGGAGGGTCATTCACAAGTCTTTAAGTACCGGAACTGACAGAGTGTGATCTGGCTTGTTAGAGATGACTTGACTAGACTTTGACAGCTCTTTGATGTGTGAGAATCGTAGATCACCTTACACAGCGGGGAATAATTTATTCATTCGTGAAGAAAGAACCGAGGCCATTTAGTGTATGTTAGACGGAAAGTATTTACAATAGTTGGTATATGTTAAATCATTGAGTCAGTTTCACTTGTGTTTCAAAATAAAGATATATAATTGAAATTTAGCAACAGCCGGATGACCTGATTAAGCAAAAATAAATAAAAGGGTCATTTGTACGATGATTTATATTCATTGATACAAATTATCCACAAGTATTATTCTTCGTGTGGAAAAATGTTAACACAGCATTTCTTTATTTGGTGTGATTCTTAGACAGTATCGTGAGTTTCTAGTTTTTCATTTATTCGAATATTTTTATTTTTAGCTAGAGTTTCGAGTTTTTCATATATTGGATTTTTTTCATTCAGTTTCTAGTTTTTTCCTTCATTCGACTATTTTTTTTCCTCATCCAGTTTCTAGTTTGTTTTTTTATTTATTCAAATATATATATTTTTTATTCGGAGTATCTAGTCATCACCCATTCGTTTCGGCATTTTCTTTTATTTATTTTCTCTTTTATTTGCTCTCCCGGTTCTATCACGTTCGTTCTTTCAGTTTTCTTTATGCTCTTGTTTGTTGTGTTGCCTCTCCTTCGTTTTTTTTTATTTCTCTTTTGTTCATTCTCTTTAATCGTTTGGAGTCTTTTCATTTTGTCCTTCCTGTGCTTTCTTTCGATTTTCTAAAATTCGTTCATTTTATTTCTCTTCCATCCTTTATCATTTACTCTTATACATCCTTGTCTATTATCCATCCTTTCATCACCTTAAAATTCTTTCTTCCCCCATTTTCTTTCTCCCTTTTTTACCGTCCATCCTAAAAGGCCTAAACAGATAACGTCCATTCTAACTTCCCTTAAGATCGATCCATCCATAAGCCTTCCACACGATCCTCGCCCTTAAGAACCCATCCTGAAGCGCGCGAAGGTTGCGTTCGTTCGCCGCAGGTCTTTGCCGGGCGTTTTCTCTCAAGAGGTCGAGCGAGAAAGTCTTTGCAATGGAACGCGGCCAGTGTGGTGTTTTTTTTTTTGGTTGTTCTTTTTT